AAAAAAAAAGGTTTCAAGTTTATCAGTTTGTTGAAGAAAAACATGTGCAATTTAGACGGTACGAAAGTTGGAAACTACTGACGATATCAATACAATAACAGATTACTTTAGTTATGAGCATTTTTATGTCATATACTGTAAATTTTACGAATTGGACAAAGATCATAACTTAGTTATCGATAAAATTGATATGTCGTCACATTCCAATGGAGGTTAGTTGACTGTCAGTTGCAATTGCAGTTTTAAACTAATTTTTTTTTTGCTAATATTGATCTATTTGACTTAGCCATAAGAAGTCTACAAGAAACTGATCATAGCACTTACAGCAATACCGCCACGAGTGATCGACCGAATCTTTAGTGGTGCAGTTACTAGGGCTCCACGTGGTAAAAAACAGGATGCTGTTGAAACCATCACCTATACAGATTTTGTCGCATTTCTGTTAGCCGAAGAAGATAAAAAACATCCGACTAGGTAAGTGAATCTGATTACTGCATTTCTTATACTATAAAATTTAGATTTTGAACGTCTACAGCAGAAAATTTTTTCTTTCAAAAATATCTATACTTTGTTACATAAGGCAAAATGCGAGAAAAATAATGTGTTTAATCTTATGTTTAGCATAGAATATTGGTTTCGCTGTCTGGATCTTGACGGTGATGGACTGTTGTCGTTGTATGAAATGGAATATTTCTATAACGGTGTCAAAAGTAAAATGGATCAGCACAATATTGACGCAATGCACTTTGAAGACGTTGTTTGCAATGTATGTTCGCCAGCTATCACTTTAAGCTCTTTTTTATTTTCTTTCATTAGTTACATATGGTACTAAGTGTAATTCTAACTTTTTTCTTTTCGAGCAAATTAATATCGTTTTTTAGTTGCTGGATTTAATACGGCCAAAACAACCAAATGTTATATCGCTGTCTGATCTAAAACGATGCAGTTTATGTACGCGGTTTTTCAATACGTTTGTTAATTGGGTTAAATACTGTGAGCAAGAATCCACAGAAGGAGAACGAGCGACAGTGGTAAGTGATACATCTGGAAACTAACTGAACAGTAGATTATCACGAGAGTCTAGTCGTCGAACATAACTGAAGTGTGC